AAAAAAAAAAAGAAAAAGGATTATGGAAGCAGTTGGGTCTAAATTCCTGGGAATTGCAGGCAGCCTTGGGGATAAAACTGTGCTAGAGCAATCACAATAGATATTAGTATTAGGGGATCTTGAATCATCAAAAGAAAGGCTTAGCAAAGACAATAGATCAGCTCAGGTAGCCATCAAATAAGTGTGTATTACATCCTAAGATAATTTCATCAAGATTATTTCTGAAATGTTGTCAGCTCTTATTTTGAAAATGTACTCGCATAGATAACTCCGTTGCTTTATAGTACTGGATAAAAGAGGCCTCTATTGTGTTTAGTTGCCTTAAAAGCATACTGTTACTTTTAAGAATGTTATCTTCAAACAGATCTGTTTGTTTATTCCTTGGTTAACTCTCTTTGATTACAGTGTTCCCTCCTTGGTGAAATTGTTTAAGAAAATGTCACTAAAATATCAATAGTGTCCATGGCAAGACTCAGGAAATGACCCACAGGTCTGATTCTATTCCAAAGAATTCAAGGGACTTTCCAAATTAATACATTTGGATTCAACTTGGAATTTATAGTTCAGAAAGGGGCTGACAGAAGCTTATACTTTTACTGTCTATAAAGATAGTTTATAAAGCAAATAACTTCTGTTTGACTCTTAGAACAGACTTAAGTATCATCAAGTTTTGTTACAGGTGTTCATTTCCAAACAGTTGGTGTGTGGTACATGACATTACTGTAGTATTTAATTTTAAAATTTAATTTCCAAAGATGTTACCCAATAAAACTGCTTAAAATGATAGATTCTATTTTGAGTCAGATAGTTCCCCTAAGCCTTTATCATTTCTTTTTCTTTTTCTTTTTTTTTTTTATCATTTCTTTTTCTGTGTGAGTGGTAGAAGGGATAGAAATTGGGACCTTGCACAGGCAGGCATTTAAGCCACTGGGCTATATCCCTGGCCCTCATTTCTTAAATGGACCTCAAATATTAAAGATTATATTTCAATTAATTAGTTAATTTTTAAAATGTACTTAGTACAGGGTCTACAGCGTCTCACTACATCAGGCTCATAGTCATTCTCCTGTTTTCAGCCTCACAAGTGCTGGGATTACAGGTGCACTCTACCATGCCCTGTCATGGTCTGTCTCAGCATGCCCTGGGGGCAGGGCCAGCAAGTCACTCTAGGGATTGAGCCCCAGTCCCTGCATCTGGCTAAGAAGGCTCTTTAATCCTCTGAGCTATTTGGCTAGCCCTAAAATTTCATAT